ATAATAATAATAATAGTAATAGTAATAATGATAACAATAGTAAAAATGATAACAATAGTAATAATGATGATAAAAATAAAAATAATAATAATAATAATAATAATAATAATAATAATAATAATAATAATAATAATAATAATAATAATAATAATAATAATAATAACAACAATAGTAATAGTAATAATAATAATAATAATAATAATAATAATAATAATAATAATAATAATAATAATAATAATAATAATAATAATAATAATAATAATAACAACAACAACAACAATAGTAATAATAATAACAATAGTAATAATAATAACAATAGTAATAACAATGATGACGATAAGGATTCTATCTGCAGTGATAATAACAAATTAAAACATTAGAAATAATAAAAAATAATATTCATAATTATGATGATAATAACAAAATCAACTGTATCAAGAACAATGATAGCACAAATGACAATAACAACAACTGATATAAATAAACAATAAAAATATTGAAAACTATAGCAATAATATCAATAAAAAAAAATAAAATAATCAAAATAATAATGACCACATGATAAGCACTAAAAAAAAAAAAAAAAAAAAAAAATCTTATGATAAACAGAAATTCTAATAACAATAATGAAATAAAAAAATAACTAATAGCTATCCTAAAACATCACAAACAACTTTATTTGTACCAGGTTGCTAACAACACTCCAAACTGTACAATTTGTTTATGCTCTACAGTTAAAATTTAGAAGACATTATCATCAAGTAATTGTTTACGAACTGACCAAACTCCTCCAAGATTACGTTCCTATTACTCCAGCTAACAACCTCGGGGCAACTCCTAAGCACCAAAAAACGCCGCTATTACGAACCAAAAAACTTTTCTAACGTGGGGACGTCACCCCCAAGCCCCTACTCGACAGCTACCTTTCCCTAGGCTGGGATTCCATCTGCAGTTTCGTTTAACTCCCACGCCCGCTGTTATTCTGGCACTCCTCCACCACCTCGGAGAATTTCACTAATAATAAATCTGCAAAAGCTCATTCTTGCTAGATATATATCTTGGAGATTTATTGGCCTTTGTTGGAGTGCGGAATCTTACTTTATGTCAAATACTCATGGCAAGATTCAAGTGCCTTTCGACAGAACAAGGCCAATGTAATATCAAGGAAAAAAAATCCTGAATTGAAAATTCCCTTTTAACCCTATTATCAACATTAAATTTAAAACATAGTATATAATTGCATAAAAAAAATACCAAAAAGGCACTTTTGTAATGTCTTTCAGTCTGCTTGTATTAGCTCTTCATGACAAATGTCATAAAGTTATATAGCCATTAATGAAAAAGTTTTCTATAAACAACCATGGTAGAAAAAAACACTGTATTCAATGAATTTCAATGATAAAAAGAAAACTATAAATCAAATTCATCTACTTTTGAACTGGGATGAACTGTACAGAAATTATTCCAGTGTAAATGACAAGCCAAGACACGTTATATGCCACCTGTATGTAGTTACTAAGAATATTTTAAAAGCATCCATAAATCAACTCATATTCTCGTAAGTATTCTCTGAACAAGCAATTCATCTGAATGCGTTTCCCAACATCATTAATAATCTACTGTCATCATCACTGTTTACTTCCTCCGATTTGATTAATATTCTTTATCATTTGCACATTCCGACTACCCTCTAAAAGAAGCCTTATGGCTCGTTGGCATAAGGCCTGAAGTCCCGTGACATGGAGGGGATCTTCGCAGCGAGCCCATATGCCAAATTTCGATTTTATCCTACAAACTCTACATTAAATTGAACTTCTCCTTAAAATCTTGATTTGTATATAGATCTTGCATCTAACGCTATGCAAAGTGCCTCGCGACGACGTGCCTTTGCCCAGAACAGGAGTAAAATAAAGAATACAAAATTCATGACGAGGCACCGCCGACTCGGTCCGGACTCAAGGTCGCTCCTTCGGCCCGAACCTCCTCCTCCCAACTTCAACCCCACTTCTTCGCCTTTCCGAACCTCCCAGGCGCCTCAAACCCCAACCAGAGGCTCCGAGGGCACGGTATCCTGCCAAGCCCCCGACCCACCCCGGGAAAAGGAGCCAAAGGCGAGCGCGAGCGAGGAAAAGGGCGGGCGCGCCCCCCCGCGTGCCAGCGCCAATGGCGAGCGGCCGCCATTGCTGCTCCTCCGCCATATTTCGCCGAGTTAACATGGCTGCGCCCACCCCCATGGCGGACGCAAACATAAACAAACGCTGGCACTGCAATGGGGCATGGGCCTATTCTCACCACCTGGAGGAGATGGAGACGCCATGGACACGCTCGCTATCGTAGGCTTATCGATCTGTTGAGGGCGAGACAAAGGGGACGAGGCGATGCACGGAATCCCGTTTTAAAACCAAGAGATCCTCCGAGAGGAGACGGAGGCAGGAAGAAAGGCAGACACACAAAAAAATACGGAATTTTGAGCCCCAAACTCGCTCTTTTCGTCGCTTAC